CCACAGACAAGCACGATAATCGTACCAGTCACGTGTAGGCAGCAACATATCCCAACCCCAAAATCCCCCATTTTCTGTTATTTCTTGTTAAGGTGTTGGTACCACGGTCTCTTGCTAACAAGGGAACTGGTTACAGATACGTAAAGAGTACAGTACAATGTGTACACTGAATAGCGCGATACCCTAAACTGGTCCTACGTTCGAATCGCATTCAGAACGCAATTATTCGAGCACCGACAGACTAAATGGAATAGTGTGAGGCTGGAAGCATGGGCATTACACGTTTCGTGCAAATGCAAATGAAGGAGGAAAGGAAAGTAAAAACAAAGTTGAGAGTAGTATCAAGATAGAATACAACCAGTGGATGAACTGTTAGTAGCAGACACTTATATCACCCATTACATTTACCTAGTGACTAGGCTGTTTTGCAATTCCGACAGGAAACGATTGCGTCGAAGTATATCTGAATATTCGGTCGCAAGTTGATGTCGCTCAGTTGTTTTTTGCAACTGGGTTTGGGAAAACTTCGAAAACGATGAAACTACTGATAAAAAAGTCAGTACTAAGTAATACAAAAGTTAAGTTTCGATATAAAACTGGAATGAGACACAATCCACCGGATGAGAAAGGCAGTAAAACTGAGTTTTAACCATAAAACCTTTAAATTTTCATAATCATAAAAATGTCCTGTGTGTCATGCTTTTCAGTTGGTGGCAGTTTTGAGAGAGGTCAAGTATCTACGACTACGTTCACTCGAGGCTGTTCCAGATTCGGCTGCCAAAATTTACGAGCAAAATGATGTCTTACGTGATTTCCGCATTAATCTGGACATGATCGTTCAGTGGTACAGTTATCTGTGCAATCAGGTTTCTCCCATCGAGGACGAGTTGATTCAAGACGAACTGGCTGCTTTTAATGAGCACACAAAACAGGCGGAGAGTTCACTAAATTGGCAGAAGGATGGTGAGTGTTTCCTTTGACCTGAGCTGATGATCAACTGATCGGTTATCCACCTGTTCCTTTGTATATTTTGTTCCGCAATTCTGTCTTTCTATTTCAGTGGTTGTTTGACCTACTGGTTTAATGTCGGTCAGTCAGTCAGTCAGTCAGTTAGTCAGTCAGTCAGTCGATCAGTCCCTCTCTGTGTCTGTCTGTCTATCTGAGTAATTCCCTAAAGATCGGAGAAACTACTATTGACCCAAGAATCAGATAACACTTTGGAGTAGGTCATTTAGAATGAATATTTGTCACCAGACACATTGAAATACTAGCATCTTTTTCCGCACGCAGATGCGTGGTCTTACATCCAGACAACTCGAGATATGGCCAATGATTTGCAGCGTCGAGTCAAACAGACGCAGGAGAATGTGCAACAAATTCGCACGATTATGGCCACCTGGTCAAAAACACCGCTATTCGAACGAAAAGATGGCAAACGGGATGCGTTGCTCAGTCTGGATGATCGTACGGAACGATGTACACGACGATTTGGTGAAGTTGAAGAGGCCGGCAAACGTGTGATGCAATTGCTTGAGGTAAGAAATATGAGTACTGGTTCGAGTGTGATCAATACGGACCGGTATTCCAACCGTGTAGCATTGAGCGTGAAGATAGGAATAAAATACTTCCATGAGATATGGAGACGATTCACAGTCCGTTCTAATTGTGAGATCCCGGGTTCGATCCCAAGTTGGGTCTGAGGATTCGCACTGCACCGATAAGACCCATCTCGGTCGAAACAGTTAACCAGTGCGTCCCGGCTTTTCAGCTCACGTCTCACTTACCCGACGAATTCATCATATAAATCATGTCTTTAATGCGATTCACAAGATGACTCGAGATTCGTTTGGAGACAGGGCAGTTAGTAGTTGTGGTTTGGTTATTGAACTCACTACTTGCTTCTCACAAGCAATGCATTAAATTGATATATTATTGTTATTGTTATTTTACCGAGAAAACAGTGTCAGTATCAACTGACCGTTTGTTTTCGGGGGGGGGGGGCTTCTGAGGTCCCGGGTTCAATCCCCAATTGGAAAAATGGTATCTAACGGGATTGGAACAGTCGTACGGTGCTTTCGAACGTTCTAGCTCAAATTTTATTTCCTTTTTGCACGGTGATTGTCACGGAAGTGAACAGCAGTTCCATTTTTGTGCGATCCGTGAAATTTATTTCACGAGTTTTGGTTGATTCATATTCATCTCACTGAACATAATTAAAAGGAAAAATGTGGTGGCTAGGAAACGCTTGTCGACCGCCGATAGAAGGCGAGAGCTACATACTATCACGTACTCATTATACCCGGCCCGATAGTTTGATGTTTACAATCATGCCACAAACGAATATCCATGAGCTGTCATCAATTTACACTGTTGAAACGAACCATTGCTTTCATGTCATTTCTCACATCTGCAAGATGGTAGCTGATTGTCCAATTCATTTGAAGGCTAAGATACTTCCGAATCTCAAATTTTTACTGACCTGGGATTGGGGAAAGCACGAAACCTGATATCAATTTAGGTGGGGTATAAGTGTGTAAGCGTGTGCCACAGAAAGTGTGCTGTTTCCGTGACCAGTTCTTACCCATCGATTTGGTTATTTTCGCGAGAGATGAGGGGATGATCAAACCAATTTAATCGATCAGATTTGTTTTATCTAAAGGACATCTCTTGAGCTGAACTCGAACTAAACCCCTCACAACTAATATCCGACAATACTACATTTCCACCAGATACATCTCAAGGAGACTTCGCGTTAGTGTCAACACCGAGTGGTAACAAGTGTACAATGCAACTGTTTGTTTTCCACGGTGTTTCTCCTGTGCCCCGATTGCAACCGTTTCTGTTTATTGTTGTCGCGTTGGTATCATACTTGTTCGTAAGTCGATGATATATATGTATATAAGAATATTTCTGTGTATATACTATTCATAGGCAAATATTTTCTTCATAGTTATTTTTGAAAATTCAAACGAATCATCGGTATGCAACAAGAATCGTGCATCTACCACAGGCAGCCTTTGATTAGCTACCGCCTACCTTTTGAAAACTCACTGTATACTTGTACTATATTCCATGAATGAAAAATGAAATAAGAACATTTACAAAAGCTTGACGAGGACCACCCGAGGTGATCGAAACATTGAGCAATACATAATATTCGTTCAACGATGTTGTGATGTTATTCACAAGCTTTTCTCGATTTTACTAAATGTCAAACAACGTGCAAGTTTGTCGATCACATTCCCACAGAGTGTCGTATCGATATTACTAAAGAAGTAGGAGAACATCACCCATTCAAGGGACAGCGAGGAATTCAACCGTCTTATTCCTGACAAAGTGAGCAGCAGACTGTTTCAACTAAGAAGAATGCAAATAGCGTTTTGATCAAACCGGATCGACCAAGGGTGGTGGATGGGCTTGTGAGTTGTGTTCACCCATTGTCATTTGAGATCCACTTTCGTCGGGTAAAATTGCAACTGAACTTCAGCTGAAAGTTCGACTCAGCAGCAGTGCGTTTTCGTCTTGGTGAATCACTTGGTACATGGGAAGAAGAATGTATAATGAACTCATCGATCGAATTTCATCACGTGATCTTTTTAGCGTCCACCAACTGATTGTGTGCTAATCGAATAAGGCAAAAGTGATCGTTACTCAACCACTCGATACATGGGCGGTACGAAAGAGTGATCCCGTGGGTGAATGTCATTAGTCAATGCGAAATGAAACACAAGCACTCATATGTAGGATAGACGAGCGAAATACGGATGAACAATGTTCAGCTGGGATAGAAATGTGTCGGCGGTAGCTACTGAATGGAGGACAGCTACATAGCTCCATTCACTGTTACAGGGATGATGTGCAAAAAGCCATAGAGTTGTGGATTCCGTAAACAACTATCGCTTGGTTCGATGACGAGTAGCTTTTTACAAGGCGGAGCATGAACGATAAGACCGAGATCTTGCCCTAATGTGAACTATTCATTCCGGATATGTTTGTTCCATTTTGTCTACAGACCAATCGAGAACTATTCAAAGCGGAGGAGAATTCCAGTTCATGGGATAGATATGTTCTATTTGTGGACACAATTGTTCAGGAGGGTCTGGTCGCAAATATCGAATGCAGTCTGCGCTACCTACTGACTGAGATGGAAAATCAACCCACAACTGCGGCACTGTTTGAGGCACAAATGGAATTACAGGTCAGTTTGATTTTCACATTGATTGCTACATCTAAGCTTTCTTACTTACCGTAGAGCTTCTCCCTGTACCCACTGAACTATTTTTCGTCTTTGCCAAACGATAAATTATTAAAGAACGGAAATAAACTTTCGCAATCTCAATGGCTATGATACCGCAATCGATAAATCAAGGTCCCTTATTTGCGTATAATCAAAAAATGACCTAGATCTCTTTGAGCTAGATTTTTATTGGACACAAGTGTTTCCCAATCCGTTTTATAGCCGCCAATTTGATGGTGTCACCGACTTGCACAATCCGGTATTTACACTCCCGCGAACAGACCGTATCACGGCTTTGACGCTTTCTGTGATGACTCTGTTCACATCCACCATGAGAATAAGAACACCATGATTCAGGGATTCTACTCTCCCACCCCACCCCTCCAAAAAAATTTACAATTAACTTTGTGCCTCAGTCCTCCTGTTACCTTGACCAGTGGTCGTAGTGATTATGGTAAGTTTGTTGATTGAGATGCCGTCAAGATCCAGCAACTACGTTGATCGTGCATGATCCATGATCCACATACATCGCTCGGAGTCAACCGTAGTTACTTTGGTAACGTTTGGTAATTGAGTTATCATCAGTGTCCGAACCACTACGATCAGTTGTACCTTAGCTGTAGCGCGCATGAAACAGTGCGTCACCTTTCGTGCTTATCAAGTAGGGCCCCACTTGAAAGTGTCACGCAAATCTCACAGCTTCATCGACCCACCAAATCAACGTTCGTCAGTGAACTCCACAATGTGTAAAACTGGGTCCGTCTCATACCAACACAGAAAGAGTGTGGGAAAATATGTTATCAATCGGGGATAGACAANTAGACAAAACATGTGATCAATCGACCAGTAAGGTAAGCTGAACGGAAGCGGATCCCACCACAGCGTTCTTTTCACAATTCAAATTGACACTTTCAAATCAAAGTCATGGTTTCTCAAATCAATCTTAAAATGGTAAAATTCATGAATTTCGATTGCGTAACACTCTTGTACCTGTTGGTGCTCATGTGCATGTACTACTGTGATGTGGCCGCAATTTGCTCCACTCGCCCTGGTCTGTCAGACACAGTTCAGTTTCAGTTTAAACAACCATTAACCATGTTTTGGTTGCTGTCTTTTGGCTGCCCATTTGGATGTATATAGGAGAAAGACAGGAAAGGTCGAAAGTATGATCAAAGAGAAAATTTATAATTTCAGTGGATTAATGTTACAGAGAAATTGACAAGATACACGAACGCCATTGTTTACGACACCCAGTCATATCCCCCAGTGTCTCTAATCCTCGGTTACGGTCATCCCGAGGTCCCCACTCAGTTAGCCTAACGGAACCTATATGACCTAGACTCCTGGTTAGGGTTTTTCATACCCTCGTGCCAGATCTTAATTTGACTACCCTTGACTTTCTACCACCCACCACCTGCCTCGGCGAACCTCCCTCGTCGTGGCAACCTATCTGCTGGCATGCGTAATACATGCCCCAACCGACGTAATCTTTGAAGGTCGATCATTCGCTCTGTCAGACACAATCATATGCAAACCTCCTCCAGTCAGCTAAATGACCGAATAAATTTCGATCCTGCGTTTCAGGCATGCTGTAGATAGGACAATTTGGCAGGATATTAAACGGGGTTTAAATTGACGCAACATTCGAATTTCAGTTCCTCTTCTGATTTGCGGAGGGGGGTGGGGGTGGGGTCAGAGAATTTGAGTCGTGGTGACAGAATGTTTTGTGAACAATCGTGATTTGATCGGCTCCGTTTCACGATCACTGTGTGAATGTAGCGGTATACAGAGAGGGTGGGCGGAAAAGGATTGAACGACCTTCGCATATTTAGTCCTACAAAACGGCATCGTAGTCGAAAAAGCCACGAATGAACACACCTTAACACGGACACCGGAGTGACCGAGTGCGTCTAATGTGCAAGCCTTTGATCGATCAAATGTCAGCAGAAACAAGTGTACTTACAGGCATTCGTAGCCGAGATACATTTAACAAAATTAAACGACCGGGGATTGTCGCATCCCTATCCGATAGTCCGCATCCATCATAGCAAAAAGCATGTTCATAAGTGCAGAACGTTTCCATTCTGTCAATCGATTGGATAGCGTTCCGAAATCTATCGGTGAAATATATCACATGCTTTGGCCTTCTGCCCCACCTCATATTCCATAAAAACTATATGCTTTTGTTTATCAGTTTGCTTTTCCCGTTCTTCTTTATTGTTCCCCGGTTGGTTTTGTTGGTCTACTCAAAATAGATTTCAAAATTCTCCGTCGAGGTTTGTCGATCATCAGTCTTGTCTTTTATACTCGCTGATGAGCTATCTAAAACACCGTGTAAGCATCATTTGTCTTCATGTGGGACATTTGTACAGAAAATCCTCTCTGACTCCACTTATCCTTTACATGGTGATCTATCCAAATGCTGCTCTCATTCATTCACGCAAAATTCTATGTAAATACGAATACAAAAATATAACGGAATGTGATGTTTTGTTCTCACACGGTGCCTATCCAAACCTCAGCGCTTTCCTTTCAGAACGGACCGGTTTAATTTTAGACAGAAAAAGATATACCATAAAGGAAATTACACCAATTAACGGGAGTCGGCTGGACTTCAATGCCAGACTCACGATGCGCTTACCATGCGTAAGCGCTGCCACACAGGCAACACTCATCGAAAGCAGATAGTCTTGTAGAAGATTATCCACTTTCAGAGCTCAAGTTTCACATCCTAATAACAATATAGCACATACCATTGCATTCATTGTACACACGCTTTCCACTCGAAATGCTGAGCTTCATGTGGGTGATCCTGTTCAACAGATATGTTCTTTTGTTTCTGTTTTCTTAGACCCCGGATATCGTATTCAAACCGTCTCTGGACAACAGTGCCAGTAGTGGATTTTATCACCTGGTTTCCGGAATTATTGACGATATCTACAAACAGGCCACCTTTATCGAGCGTCTGGCCAGTCCGGTAGAGGGAGCTCATTACTTGGTAAGTTTTTGTGCAACTATCGGGCAGATGTATCTTGTTGGTTTATGCCTATCACAAACCTCGCCCCTTTTGTCCGTATTGTGGGACCAATACGGATGCTGGTGATAATGATACTGACGATGACGATGATGTAAATCAAAAACTGATCTTATCATGAATGAGCGTTAGGTTAGGTTAGTTGAGCTTGAATATCACGTGTGGCCGGGGATGAAATACGTGAATGCGTCCACATTTTTCATTCATTATCCGGTTATCTGTACCTCATAGCACATGATCTCGAATCAGTTGGTTCTGACTTCTTTCCACATTTTTATTGTACACCTAAGTGTGACGAATAGCAAGAGTGAGGAATTCCTGTGGTCATGAAAACAAAGGGCCAACAGTACTAAGTTCATTTCAGTTTGTACAACCAATAACCATGCACCTTCGTGCGACGGTTTTGACTGCTGTCTTTTGGCTGCCCATTTGGATGTATATTAGGAGAAAGACCGGGAAGTTGAAAGTAGAGACGAACAGAAAACGGAGAATTTCAGTGGTCTAAGGTTGCAAAAAATTAAGAAGATGCACGAACACCACTGTTTACGACACTCAGCCATATCACTCAGTGTCTCTACCCATCGGTTACGATCATCCCGAGGTGGCAACCTATCTGGTGACATGTGTAACAAATGCTTCAAGCGCGGGATCAAGCCTATTGATCGTGGAGTTGTATTCCATCGAAATCGGGTAACAATGACCTGGTTCAAAATTCCGAGTAACTTCAAGCTGAAAATGGACAAGAACCGACCTCGTGATTTAGATAATGAAAGAGAAAAAGTAATGAAATTATTTTATATTATTGAATCATTTCGTTTAGTTTACACACATATTCCGATAGTCATATCTCAGAGCAGTCAGTCAGTCAGTCAGTCAGTCTTTCAAACAACCCACCTTCCCCTCTTTTCTTAGCCGTTTCGTTTTTCAATCATAGTCTATCGTTTATTCTTACTCGTTATCTGGTTTCTCTTCTGCATGTATCTTTCGTCTGATATGCTTTTTCTCCACCAGGAAAAAATGTTCGAGGAGACCAAATTGGATCAGATGCGTGAACACCTGTTGGATCGAGTCCAGGAAGTGATCAAACAGGCCGTGACCTATCAAACAGGCTTTGAAAGCTATTCCTATTTGTGGATCGATGATCGACAAGAATGTATGAATCAATTTCTCACCTATGGTCAAGTACTCTCGACCGAGGATTTGGACCTTCTGGCCGCCGGTCCGGTTACACCGACTATGGGTCAGGACGATGAACAACAGGCTTCAACCGGATTAGTCCCGAAAGCTCCAACACTAGAACAATTCAAACAACAAATCGATCACTATGAGAAGATATACGAAGAGGTAAGACATCTGGTTCAATCTAGATTTTGTGTTTAAAACAAATCTGTAGGATTAGGGCACATGACTCCATTTCTCTTTCTCGTCAAAACATATTTTGTGTCCGTCCATCGTTTTCTCAGGTCGATCGATTAGATGGATCCACCAAATTCCAGTCCTGGTTCCGAGTCGATGCTCGCAAATTTAAACAAGCTCTTATCAACGAGATCAAACGTTGGAGTCTCATGTTCAAACAGCATTTGATTGAACACGTGACTAACAGTCTGGCCGAACTGAATGAGTTTATTCAAGTGAGTCTTTTCATTTCAAATTTGTCAAGCTTGATTAAACATTCAACTTAACTGACAAAGATAGGTTTCAGCGAAATGTATTCTTCAGGGAATGCGTCCGATGATGGCTGTGCCAAATGTGGGCTGGCTTGATGTTTCTTACAGTGGTCGAACGCGCAACAGATGACCTAAAGCGAGCTGGCCACACAACTGATCCACGAGATTCCAAACCTCTGCGAACGGAGCAGTGAGTTTAACCACAAGTCTGAAGAATTGAACATTAGTGTTGTGAGACTCTACTCATACTTGTGAGTGGTTCGCAAAAAGATGCGATTGGCGGTTTATTTGAACGGTCAAAAATAAACAACACTACTTAGAGCGATTTTCTGTGCTCAAAATAATAACTACGGACTGTTCCATTCACTAACCTGCGTACTATCGGGAATTGTGATGACATGTTTCAAAGGAAATATCTTGTTATATGTATGTCAAATTATCGATATCCTAGCTGTCAGCTGCAATAAACAACTATCCTCGACCAGGCACCTTGTGGAATTACACTAGAAAGTTAGTGATTTTACAAGGTTTTTGTTGGTTTTCATAGTCATATCAGTGTTGTGCATTAGTAAACCACTCGGTAGACAAAGCCAAGGTATACGGTTATCCTAGGGACCTCATGTTGAGCCTTTGACAGATAAATGGGGTAATTCTTCGCTTCAGTGCCTGCATTTCAGGCCACATCAAGTAAAATAATCACCCTAGTTACCTTGACGAGGGAATACTCAGCAGCACTGCAGGCTGGTGTCCCGTTTGTCGGTTTATGTGCCCCTCGGAAGGGGATGTCACGCCCAACTTGTTCAATGCTCACTGAGGCTTAATCATGCAAAAGGGTGAACACCCATTCACCCTGAATCAATGAATGTCAATAATTAACACGTATTGGTGGCCTATTGACCATGCGCACACCACCGCGCAACAGAAATGCTCCAATCAGTGAGTGCACTTGTCTTCATGCTTTGAAATCCATTGCTCTGGCCTAACTAGCCGAGCCTGTTGACATGTTCTCGCGTGACCATGTACCATCAGCTTTCACCACATGCGCCTGACTGGTGCGGACTGGGTTCTATTATCGATCGAAACAACCAAACCAATGTGATCCGTGTGTTCTCAGCATTACCGACCATTTATGCCCATCAAAGGTAACGTGTTCAAGATTAAAGTAACGAGCAGATTCAACCTTAGATTAAAGATATGGACATGGGCCTCAAAGTAACACCGGAAATTTGCCTTCTCTTGCTAAACGGACACTATAGTCAATCAAAGACAAACAGAGGGTATGAAGAAGATAGGGACGTGGGTAATTTAGGCTGAGATGGTAGAACCCGAACACGCGATCAGCAGATTGATGTGATGATGACTTATGAAACTGAAACATTCGTTGTAATAAGATGAACTTCAATTCGATTACTTATTGCGTGACTAGTCTCCTGATTGATTACTTGATTGATTGATTGATTGATAATTTTCATCGTTTCCTAGCAGTAATCAAGGCTACAACTGCATTTTGCTTCAACTTCATATTTCCTCACAGGTTACAAATGCAAGTTTAGGTGTGACCCTTCAAGAAGGTGATTATGATGGTCTAGTTCATGTGATGCAACACTTGGGCAATGTGAAAGATCGTCAGGAAGCGACCGATGGAATGTTTGAGCCACTGAAGCAGACAATTGAATTGTTGAAAACGTACAATCAAGAAATGCCTGATGAAGTGCATCAACTACTTGAAGTAAGCGTCTATACGTGACAGTCATTCGGTAGTCTTCTTGTTGCGCTTTTATTCTGGTCCATGTAATCGATGATACACTATGAGTCGAAAAAATGAGAACCGTATTCCGGGAGGACAAATAACGCTCAAATCCATCTAATCTCTTTGAACCCCGCTTAGAATGACAAAAGTTAAATGGAATGTATCCAAGCGCACTATTATTATATCGTTAATGGTTAATTATATTTGTTGAAAGGAAACTTCTCCAGTATTTAGTAGAATCACCATTGTTGATAACGATACCACCCGCCCCGCGTGGCATACTGTCAACAAGGCTTCATGTGTAACCTTGAGATACGCTACCAGTTCAGTCGGGTTTTGCAGTCTAGAAGATTACGATTTCAAATGACAATTCGTCGTGTATATAGCAAATGAAGCGTGAACTGAAAAGCTCGGAAGCACTGGACAGCTATTTCGACCTGGTTGGGTCTCATCCGAGCAGTGCGAATCCATCGACCCGACTGGGAGATCGAACCCGGGACTTCATGGGCAGAACACCAACTTCCGAGCTTTTCAGTTCACGCTTCATTTGCTATATACACGACGAATTGTCATTTGAAATTTAACCAGATCCTCCATTACCCACATAAATTTTACGATTTGTTTGTTTTGAGATGATTCCACTCATGTTCAGTTGGATGAAAATCTGATTTATACGTTGTAGTGAGTGTCAAGATGCAATTTTTCGTAACAGACCATTTTGTTACCGTTATGCTTAAGCGGTGTCATTTCACAAGACAGAGTAGGATGAACTCTGTTCTCTGGGTAGTTCGAATCAGTTGTGATTAGATCGATGCAGGCCAGCTCACCCTCCCCGTCAGAACAACTAGCCAACTGCCCCCACCACCACACACATACACACACCTTAACAGAACCCACAGCACCCGGCATGTGTGAAAGTATTCCTTATACCACTAAAAGTTATCGACAGTAGTTTTACCTTCTGAGTAGGTTCACGTGCAGTTACAATTACGATTCCATAAAATTGATTACTGACTATAAGTTACTGAAATATAAGAACACCGGATATCAGAGAATCTCAGTATTTGATTCTTCAGTTCTGGTATTTATCATTTTACCTTTTATTTTACCTCCTCATGGATCAAACGTTTTACATGCATTTTCAATCTCTCTCTCTTCTCTTTCTTTGTCAGTACACTCATTAGGTTTAAAATTTGATGGTGTTTGAGTTGTGATCAGTTTTCGGTCATACCGGATTGAAAAAGTGTGTTATTTATGAGGGCTATATAAAAGTGCAACGGAGATCATAATGATCACTACTACGTTAATGTGTTATCCCAACCTAATTCCAAGTTTCAGACTCACAAAGTCTGATGAGGTGACCTGTGAAGAGTTACCATCTAAGTTTTACGCAATCTGTTCCTTCAGATAATATGATATGACCTCCTTCCTTGTCCGGAGGCCGTGGGTCACTTGGAGTTAATCATCGACGGAGTTGAGTGTTTCCGAGGACTGCTCTGAGTTGCGAATAGAAAAAAAAGGTTTAGTGCTTTTGGGGGATATCACTTTGTATCATGTGCCCAATATTTTTCATGAGTTCTTCCATGAAAGCAGTTCATTGATTAAGAATAAGACAATCGTAAGTCGAATATTATACCCATCCTGGATGAGCAGCCCATGAGGTACCCGGTACAAAGTTATCATTAGTTGTGGGATCATGAATAACTGTGAGTTATTCTTATCACCATCTTTCTCAATCACTGAATTATGGGAATCCAGCAGATGTAATCAGACTGTAAAATGATGCTACGAGGATGAGAAGTGCTGAAACAACGATAAGAATCTATGCGGTCAAATGGAGGATTAAAAAGAGAAGTTGTGGATCGTTGCCATTGGCATTGGAATGATCAGTCCTGGAATTTTCATCAAAAATCTCATTTCTGGTCTTTGCTAATCAGGTGAAATACTGGTTCCGAATAGCATTGTTAAGCATCTAGTTGATACCAGAAGTATGTAAGGAATCCCCTTTGATTTAAAAGAAACGGTATTCGAGGGAACCTCGGCCACATTGAAATCTGTTCAATATGTTATTGAGGACCTAGACTGAAATCACTTGTGCAACGAGTCATATCAAAATTTACGTCTGAGCGTGGGGGTCGATTTATAGATCCATCTTGACGGATTCGTTTATTCACCCAGCCAACCGAGATCAATTACCGTTGGGTTAGTTCATTCTCGTCCGAGGCTCCCTCGATCAACGGTCAAGGATAGAATGTTCCCAGGTTGAGAGAAGAATAGTCAAGCTCTACCCCACAGAAACTTTCATCCTTGTACAAAAAGTATTTTTATTGGATTATGGAGAATGAAAACCGAAAGAACACGTCCACAGATGTTAACATTTCTTTTAATCTCCTCACTGGCTGATATAAAACAATCAGGCACGTGTAAAGCAAATTGAGTGCCAAACAAGGACTAATAAAATTGGAAACAAAAGATCAACTCCATGGCAAGCGAACTAATGGCGTCAATTACTTTAGGGAGCACAAAACAGGATAACATAATGGAATCAGTAAGGCTTNTTCACTAATCACCGAAAGCTTCGCAATGCGATTATTCAACAAAGGCTTGAAAAAGAACACATGATTGCATTGTGTTGTATTGCACTGAAGCTTTAGCGAGTTAGACACAAGCTTTCAGTCAAAAGTAGAGCACTATCACAATACTGTCAAAAACGTGCAAAAATATGAATTTACTACAAATTATATTAGAAAGCTGAGAACGAACATTTTCCTCGTCGGTCAGTATCCGGGCCAGGTAGGATATCACTGTGTTTCTGTATGCAGATATCCGAGATGGGATGAGTTTGCATTTGGAACGGGTGAAGCGGTATAATTTGCATGCACACAGGTCAACGTCTGAAGGATGGGCGCAATCAGATAGAATATTATCAGCAAAGTTCAAGTAAATTCTTAATTGTCGTGAGGTGTTTTGTAACAGATGACCCCGGGTTCCTTGAACCGCATGACTATCGAGTGTGGGTTGCAACCTCGGCTTCACTGACTACCTTAGAATGGAGATAGGTTGGTAACCTCCTCGACTGTTGACAATAATTGGGATTTGATTTCTTTGGATAATCTTTCCTTGACGGTATCGAGTGGACAGAGAGCCCTAAGCACATAGACTGTGACTAGACGAGAACCGATTTTGAATACTTGGACCACTGATCAGACTTTATCCAATGTTTCGTGATTGCCGTAGCTCCTCCGATCCTAGTCAATCCATGATTCAATCCACTAATGTGATACTGCTGGATGAGATCAGATCAATTTCTCACCGTTCGACCCATAACCGTTGCCCCAGAAGAGGAGATGAATTGATCTGCTTCAGACTCTCGTACTTCCATCACTCATTCGTACCTGAAACCTTGCTTTATCTATTCAAAAGATAACACTCCCTTCGTGTTTCATGTCCCCGGTCTCTCGTTCAAATTCATCGACACAACACTGACAGTGAACTCCAATTTCCGATGACCTGATAACTCAGACACGCACATGCAATAAGGTCGTTTGGTCATGAGCAGCACTTGTATTTCTCACTCCGTTCTCACAGTGGTCATGTGATAAATATGCTATGGTTTCTCCTGCGTGCAATAAGTTATCTTGACTCTGACCTGTACGTAACTCCGATGATAATCATCTGGGCATCGTCATCAGGACGATATACGTACACATCATACATGAACAAAATATAGCACTTTTGTAGCAATAACTACGAAAGAAACGTAATGTGTGTCTAAATACTCTTTTTATACCCATACTTCATTAGATAGCGTGATTCTGAACTATAGATAATCCGACCAGTAGGGCGATCCGCTGTGACCAGATCTTTCACAATTCAGATTGCTGGATTTCAAATTTTCATAACATTCCCCAGATAAGGTCACGTCTTCGGGCGAGGATAAGTTTAGCCACTGACAGAATCAAACTCTGCTCTCTTCTTTTAATTAACGTATCCGAATAGCTGCTAAGGAACCGGTAAATAACACATACGTACTACAAATTATTCTAAGATAAATCGCACTGGATTTGTTTCTACTGAGCTGTTGTTCCCATCTCTTCCGCCTCTCACACCCCTTACCCTCGATTCACAGGAACTGCCGGAGAAATGGAACAACACGAAAAAACAAGCGGTCCTGGTGAAACAGGCTGTCGCACCGTTACAGAACAATGAGGTGGCCAATATCCGGAAGAAATGTGCCAGTTTCGATGTGAAACAGCATCTGTTCCGGGAACAGTTTCGCAAGATTCCCGTATTCCAATACAGCTGTGAAAAGCCCTATGAACTTCTGGACGAAGTAGGTTAGGTGTACCACACAAAAAATGCATTTGACCAAAAAAAAAGCATTGACTGTCGATTGTAAGGCTTTACAGTAAGGATTTCCGCTTCGAACCCGGGAGACTCTCTCTTTGTCTCCCAGTTTTAGTTCGTTTTTGAATAACCATTCATTATTCACTTTTGTTGCTCTTTTGGGCTGCCCAGTTAAATGACGCTAATGCTGAACGCAAACAAGGACGACGAGACACTTGTCTGTAGTTATGCTCTTTACCAAACACTGTTTGCGGAATTCCGTGACAGTTCGTTTATGTCCATCACACACACACACTCATACAATAAAGAGTATAAATTTGAGGATCACACGGTCCAGTAAAGTTTCACCTAAAAGAATGGTGAATGATAAACCGTATCACAAGTGCGTAAAGGAAATATTGTTTCACAATGTATGATTGCATAGCTGTTTGCTGTGTGTTACCTCTCCTTGAATTAGCCAGTATGGATGATGTTTCTTGATGGGACCGAAGTAAATTGCATCGTTTGAGAACTCACGAACACTTGGACATTAACTGGACCATCTCTGTTTTGTCACTCACATACAGATCCCTGAATATGATGAAAATATTAACCTAAGTGACTGTCGTGTACAAACCATTCTGAGAACCAATTTTAATCATAGCGATTCTTTAGCAAACCCATCTGTTGAGGAAAGTCTAACTGACTGTCCCATGTGTTTGAAGGACAATCATCACACACAAACTCTTGAAACCAAATGTCGAACAAAATCCTACTACCTAAACGAACCGGTGAAGTTTGTTGTATCAGCAGTACCATATATTTTTTTCCTATGATTATTTACCACTCGCATAGTTATCGATTGTATACTTGACTAAGCTGTTTATTACTCGAACCATAAGAAAGTCTGTAAATCAAAATTAGGACAGTTAAAAAGGCGCGTTTTGATATTGAAAACTATACGATGTGTATTGTGTATATTTTTGTATCCTCGATGAACTGGCTGTCCGGCGCGTTTAGCCAATCGTTTTACACAGCAGTTGGTAACTATTATATAAAAATTTGGGGAATAAATGAACTTCGAGGTATTGATTTCCGCACAAACTCTGTTGTTTTTTTTAATTAGCATGAAAAACCACATTTAGCGTGTCAGGTTCCATCATTCTGGTCAATAGTAATATCTTAGCTACTCATAAGTAGCACAATGCTGATGTCAAAAGCGAATGAAAGTGACGTTTTGTTTACGCCTTCGGGTATGTCACATCATGGATCGACGCGGTATGGCGAACGCCACTCAAAAGGGGAACAAAAATAAACATAAGATACTAAAAATTGTAAACCAGTGCCATATGATATAGGATTCTCCCGTTTCTCCATTGAAGAACCGTTAAATGTCATTCTGAATGAAATATGTATGTCTGTACACTTTTGTTTCATTATGCGCCGGGTCCCAGCACCTTTTGTTCTTTCTCACACGTGAACAACTTAAATCGTCTCTTCACATTTGAGCACAACCAAGTCGATTCCAGTTTTGTAATTTCTCTATCCCTCTATCCCTCTGCCCCTCATCTACTATCCTGTCAGAATAATAACACCCTATCCGCACTGGAACATGAAATGCAAGCCCTGCTCACCTCGGCCGGTCTGTTCGAGGTGAATGTGCCCGAGTTCAAACAAATCAAACAGTGTCGAAAAGAGTTGCGCTTACTTAAACTGTTATGGGACTACATCTATCTGATTGTGCACAGTATTACACACTGGACCTATTCCCCGTGGCGTTCGGTCAATGTGGACCAGTTAGATTTGGACTGTAAAAAATTTGCCAAAGATTTGCGGTCATTGGATAAAGAGATGCGTGCTTGGGATGCCTATCTGGGTGTGGAAGATAAGGTGAAAAATATGCTTACCTCGCTTCGCTCGGTGGGCGAATTACAGAATCCGGCGATTCGTGAAAGACATTGGGTCCAGTTGATGAATGCGACCGGGGTCCGTTTCCAAATGCACGAAGGGACCACACTGATGGATCTCTTGTCGCTCAAACTGCACGAGTACGAGGAAGAAGTGCGCAATTTGGTCGACAAGGCCGTGAAAGAGATGAGCATGGAAAAAGTCCTCAACGAGTTGGATAATACGTGGAAACAAATGCAATTCGAACCGGAACCACATCCACGAACCGGGATCATGTTGTTGAAAGTGAGCGAGGAGTTGATTGAAGTTTTGGAGGAAAATCAAGTCCAGCTACAAAATATGATGACCTCTAAATTTATCGCACATTTTCTGGAAGAGGTTTCCACCTGGCAGAAAAAGCTCTCCGTGGCCGATCAGGTGATCATAATCGGAATGGAAGTGCAACGAACGTGGTGCTATTTGGAATCAATTTTCATTGGGTCCGAAGATATACGGAAACAATTGCCCGAGGACACTGCACGTTTCGACGGGATTGATCGCGATTTCAAAGATCTGATACAAACTGTCGGCAAAGATTTGAATGTGATACGCGCCACAAGTATCCCGCATTTATACGAACGATTCGAGGCATTGCAACACAGTCTGACTTTGTGTGAGAAAGCATTGGCCGAGTATTTAGAAACCAAACGTCTCGCATTTCCCCGATTCTATTTTGTCTCTCCGACAGACTTGTTGGACATTCTGTCAAATGGAAATATTCCGGAACAAGTGGCAAGACATTTGACTAAACTATTTGATAGTTTAGCCACTCTGCAATTCCGCAAGAAAGCAGACGGAAAAACCAATACAAAGATTGCTTATCAAATGGGTGCGAAAGACGGTGAACAGGTGACCTTGTCACAAGAAACAGATTTGGACGGTCAGGTGGAAGTTTGGCTTAATCGTTTATTGGATGAAATGCGAGCCACTGTAAGACATTCGCTAGCCGATGCGGTTTCCACCTATGAGGACAAAGCACGAGATCAGTGGCTTTTTGAATATCCTGCACAAGTTGCTTTGGCAGGTTCCCAAATCGGGTGGACCACAGAGGTGAATATCAATTTTGCCAGACTGGAAGAAGGTTACGAGAACGCACTGAAAGATTACAATAAGAAACAAGTGACCCAATTGAATGCATTGATTGCCTTATTGATCGGTGAGCTCAGCTCCCAAGATCGACAGAAAGTGATGACTATTTGTACCATCGATGTGCACAATCGCGATGTGGTGGCCAAATTGATTTCCCAAAAAGTGGACAATTCGCAGACATTCGCCTGGATTTGTCAATTACGTCACCGATGGGATGAAGTACAGAAAGATTGTTTTGTCAATATTTGTGATGCCCAATTTCGTTACGCGCACGAATATTTGGGTAATACACCTCGATTGGTCATCACCCCTTTGACCGATCGCTGTTATATCACTTTGACCCAATCGTTACATCTGACCATGAGCGGTGCACCAGCCGGTCCAGCCGGGACCGGGAAAACAGAGACTACGAAAGATTTGGGTCGAGCTTTGGGTATCATGGTGTACGTATTCAATTGTTCGGAACAAATGGATTACAAATCGATTGGGAACATATACAAAGGTCTAGCCCAATCTGGTGCATGGGGTTGTTTTGATGAGTTCAATCGGATCTCGGTTGAAGTGTTGTCTGTTGTAGCGGTCCAGGTTAAGTGTATCCAGGACGCGATACGAGATAAGAAGAAACGTTTTAATTTTCTCGGTGAGGAGATCAGTTTGGATCCGACTGTCGGTCTGTTTATCACAATGAATCCGGGCTATGCAGGACGTGCGGAATTACCGGAAAATTTGAAGGCCCTATTTCGTCCGTGCGCTATGGTCGTGCCCGATTTCGAATTGATCTGTGAAATTATGTTAGTCGCTGAAGGTTTTATGGAAGCTCGACTATTGGCCCGGAAATTCATCACATTGTACAATTTAAACAAAGAATTACTCTCTCGACAAGATCACTATGATTGGGGTCTGCGAGCCATCAAATCGGTCTTGGTCGTGGCCGGCGCGCTGAAACGTAGTGATCCCGGACGTCCGGAAGATCAAGTACTGATGCGAGCGTTGCGTGATTTCAACACACCAAAAATTGTCACTGACGATTTGCCTGTGTTCATGGGTTTGATCGGGGATCTGTTTCCCGCCCTGGATGTGCCACGTAAACGAGATTTGGAATTCGAGAAACAAGTACGTCAAGCCGCGTTGGATTTGAAACTACAACCGGAAGAGAATTTCATTCTCAAAGCTGTACAACTGCAAGAATTGTTTGCTGTTCGTCATTCCGTATTTGTGCTCGGGAATGCGGGTACCGGAAAATCAATGGTTTGGAAAACCCTGTTTCGGACCAATATGAATTTGAAGAAACGACCGGTCGCGGTCGATTTGGATCCGAAAGCGGTCACAAATGACGAACTGTTCGGGATCATTAATCCGGCGACGCGGGAATGGAAAGATGGTTTATTCTCGGTGATCATGCGTGATCTGGCCAATCTGACACATGATGGACCGAAATGGATTGTACTAGACGGGGATATTGATCCGATGTGGATTGAATCACTGAACACAGTGATGGATGATAATAAGGTGCTCACTCTGGCCAGCAACGAGCGTATCCCGTTGACACCGACTATGCGATTATTGTTTGAAATCAGTCACTTGAAAACGGCCACTCCGGCCACTGTGTCCCGGGCTGGAATACTTTATGTGAATCCGCAAGTAAGTATTGCAACTACCTCGTCCTCATATATTTCCATCCTAAATGAATTGATGTGTTTTTGTTTTGTTGTATGGTTACGTTCTACCAGAAACAAGCACCGGATCAGAATCCGCATTTTGATCATAAAGATACCCAAACTTACCGATCTGAATCCCATAGGTAACTGTCACTCAATTGTGAATGGTGGTAGGAGTAGTAAGATAGATAGATAGATAGATAGTAAGTAAGTAAGAGTAGTAGGATAACAGATATTGATTCGTTTGATCACCCTTCAGGCTATCTTCGTTTTCAATTCTCAGCTCATCCGTGAACCACACCCTCCGGTGAATATCAGATTAGAGTTCCGTACGTGTTGCACCTCATTCGTAATGCATATCCACCATCCCGTCTTTCTAGACTCCTCACACAAAACGTTAGTCATACCACTAGACCAATCAGCTGTTATCAAGGTTGATCGAAATTACCGATTGGATTGTTTCCACACGTCAACCTCAGACATAAGCACTCAGTCATTGGATCGACAACTTTCACGTGGGAAAAGTTAATCATCAGCTGTTAAATCTAGTCGAAAACCTCCCACCAAACCAGGTGTTTCATGCAGACACAGGTAGTCATGCCCAATTAAACATATTGGTCCACAATTCGTGATTGCTTATCATTCCATTCGTCATATTGTCGAATGATTTCAAGTGTTGTGACATTTCTCCGTGTCCAGCTTTATGATCCCTGGCTGAGGAAAAGCTATCTATGTTCAATTATCGATACTTTTGAAGCTTTTGAAGAATCTAGGAGGACAATTCAATGGGAATTTTTCAACCAGCGTTTTTTTTTTTAGGCAAAGCCCATGGCATAGCCGGTTTCCAAAATCAATGGTAGAATAATGTTTGATGTATATATACTATCACGCTTTACAAATATGTCGCCAAAGTAGCCATAGATTGGCAGAGCGTTCCGGGAGCGGAGACAAAATCATATCAACACACACAGAACAATCCGTGTCGGGTGGAAGATTAAACAGACAATTCTCGACAGTTTACTACAGGCATTTGCTGGGGGGAGGGCATTCTTTTGCTTTCAAAACACAATGTTCCAGTTGCTGAATAAAAATATCAACAAATGTACGGTAAAACACGCAAAACTTTTTTTTATCCCAGTTATCTTCCATTTTCCCGTGTTTAACTGTTTCCTCCTCTTTCCATTCTGTTCTGTACCCCAATCCATCTATCCCCCCAGAATCGTTACTGTTATTATCGTTGTAGCAATGGCATCATCCTTGTCTACAAGTTGGTGTTAAATATATGTATAAATGTATATATATATATGAATTTATATATATATATATAAATTTATATATATATATATATATTCTGAATAATCGACTGGATGATCTGTTAAAAGACAGTATTAGTGCTTTCTCTCTCTTGGTACGATATGTTGTGGATCAGCTTGAAATTGTGAGCATTCCGTTTTCTTTTTACCAAGATAGTCTATTTTGTAACAGTAATCATTGAGTGACACATCTGGGTTGAAATTTTTCTG